AAGATTCCAACTCCTTTATATGCAGCAATAATTTAGTAGTGTTTGTATCAAACTGTAATTTGTTACTCCAGAATTGATTTTCATAATATTTCAAGTAGTTATCGAATTTTTCCTCAGTTTCTATATCTGTTTTTAAAACACAGTTTTTATATTTTGTCAAATATTTATTACATTTCTTAATTTGTTTACTTATTTTCATATATTTTCTACTTTTTTTTTCTCTGTTAATAAGATATTTCGGTTTTTTCTTCGAAAATATAGATTTTCTAGTCTTGGAAGTATTTTTGCTGCTGTAAAGTGGGTTATCGCATAATTTTTGTAACATCACTATAAGTAGTAAAATTTTACACACCATCATTTTCATATACTTACTATATATAATATTAAGGAATTTGCGCCGTCTATTTCAATCCATATCTATGGGTTAAACGCTAGATTCCATTATATTATCTTCATAATTATACCATGGGTCTGTATTTATTTTTGTTAATTTAAATAAGACAACCTAGTTCAGTTCACACATCAACAAATTGTAAGGCGAAACTCACGTTGTATAAATATTATCCCTTTAATAACAATATACGTCATTTGTATTCATACTTTCCTATTTTGGATTGCTGTATCGAAACATACCTAATGTTTTGAAAATTTTCTTTAAATGGCAACCTTTTTTGCGTTTGTTAAATAAAGACACTATATTTACCAAATTATTGGTTTTAAGGGGAAAGGGATTTTGATAAAGGGATTTAATAGTTCCTATTGCTAGCAATAGAGTAAATATATTATCATAAACAGGTTAACCACCACGCGGTTCCTTTAGGAAATTAGTTATTAGTTACTATTTAATTCGTGCTAGCTTTTCTTACTTTTATCCCCACCTGTCATTCGCACTGGCCGGCAGTGTATATCGATAGCGCAGGTGGGTTTATCATTCAATTTTCACCCACAAAAAAAAATTCACTTCGTCTCAAACTCAGATTGCTCTTATGTTATAATTTCTTGATTATTTATTGCTTTTAGTTCCTAGAGAACAAAACGAATAAGTAAAATATTTATAACCTACATTTTTCTTTTACCATTTTAATCTATGAACAAGTCAGTGACCTTTTATATTTCAAGTCTCATGTGAATTATATATTACTCTATAGGTACAATAGTAAGTCTTCTGTTTTCTTTTGCTTCTCTAGGAAGTATATCATAAAAGACATTTCTGAGAATTTCAATGCTTGTAATATTGTAATGTTTATTTGGATCTTAACTAATTAAAACCATCGGCATCATTCATGAGAAATCGCAGTACTTAATTAGTGTTTGTGTTATGCGTACAATGCGCCACCGTGCATATTTTCAAGCCACTAAAATAGCGGTTCCTGTTTAGTTAAGATCAGTTAATATATACAATCAATTTAGAATAGACTTGCAAATAAAATGAGACTTTGTTAAATAAGAAAAGTGACAATATTATTTATAGGTTCATCATGGAAGTAAAGTCAATCGATTAAAAAATAATTCTTTAAATCAAATCAGGATTTACATGATTATAGTGTTATAAAAAGATATAATCAATTTCAGAGATCCGTTGATAAAACAAGCTTTTTTATACAACTATACAAAAATAGCCAATTTACCATACTACAGTAGGCACCTATAAGTTTTTAAATTTATCAGACTACATATTGCATACGCATGAGTGAGCTCGGGTTAATAACGACAAAACTTGTGACTTCCTTTGCACACTTCACTGGATTTTTGTATTTATTCGTTGTTTATATTTTCATGCAATTTGGTATTAAAAATAACAGAATTGGTTAAGATTTGGTACCAAATATTTCATATGGAGTCTATTTTATGACTATATTAGTTAATATATAAGCTCTGTATTGTTTCTGAATATTTCAATATTGTGATGTGTTTGTTATAAATATCGTTATAAAATAGTATTTGTATATGAAGAACTCTGAACATTAATACCTTTTACAATTCGCAGATCCTTTATTAGAATTAAAATATTTTTATTAATTATCCACAAAAATAAATAAATAAAACGATTAGTCACAAATTCAATTATCTTTGAGTAAGTGTGAAAATTTACAAATATTTTTTTAATTAAGTTTTTTTAGTAATTAAATTTTCATCGGTGGATACATGGGACATTACATATTACTGTCAGTTCTTAAGTATAGATGTATCTGCAGATTTTTATTAATTATTTAAAAACCTGAATGTTGTCAAATATGGTTTAATTAACAAATACGTAGGTACCTAAGTATAGCAAATATGTATTAAACAACTGTTCACGCAACTTAATTATTATCAGAAAAATATAAGTAAAATGAAACGTACGAGTATATGACGATTAATAATTGTATGGGGATGATAATGATAAATTACATTGTTAATCTAGCTAAGACGACAACATAACTGACAACCATCCAGATGCGCCACATTGCGATATACGTGTAGTACATATGCGTTGTCCAATATTAATTAATTGTTGGGTATTGATATTTAATCAATAGTTCAGTTGCAGCCACAAGTAATCGAGTAATCAAGGTATAATAACAAAATGAACAATAAGATGTTTTCTATGTATACAATACGTTACATACGTATTATGTGTATGTGTGCAACATAGAAAACATCTTAAGAAAGAAGAAATAAATATTTCTATCATTTACCTAATATCCACAGTACAAGCTCTGCTTAGTTTGGAACTAGATGACACTGAGTAATATGTCCAGTGTTATATATTTATTTAATCGATTATATAATCTATATGATATAATTGACTATTAACAAATAATCGGTAGTATTGTTTTGAGCAATCTATCAATACTATTGATAATAAAGGTACATTATTGGATTATAAATGACTGTATTGCTTAAAATTTTATGTCGATACTATCCATATGTTAGTCGATATTTACACATGGGAACATTATCGATTAATTGGACACACTAGCATGCAATCTCAAATAGTTTCTGCTCTATAACATTACTCAAAATTGTTCATTCCCATGATCGACACGGCGCATGCGCCCCAACAATGACTTTTATTGTGTTAGGTTCCGTATAAATTTGTGTAATATCAATACATACATAACATGTGATCGAGATTTAAAGTTAGCCAAATTTATTGATTCATTCTTTCTGCATAAAAAAATAAATTGAGTTCATTTGTAGTAAGTGCTTTATTCCTAGTTCGTACTCCAATATCCTATTCTATAATATCGTAAGCAAGAAATCACAATATTATATCAATATAAACAATTTATTCTCATTGATTACATTAAGTGTTACAAATTTAAAACGTTTAAAAATAAAACAAACAGAGAGGTCTCTAATAATATCTTAAGAGAGTTTAAAATTCTTTTCTCCCGTTTCTAATTGCAAAGGTTGTATAAATTTTATTTTATACTTACGCTGTTTTGAGATAAATTTCTTTTGAGATAATTTGTACGAACCTAATTAACTACATTTATTACAAAAATCAATTACTAGGAATTATTCAATTTCTTTTTTAACCAAAAAAAAAAACACTATTAATGATTATGTGGTCCTAACATAGAATATGTCATCGCTTCCTGTGGGTGTCGCAAGAGGCGACAAAGGGAACTTAATGGTAGAGGGATGGGTAGCAACGTCCCTCTTAAAATATCTCCAAAAGCCGAACTGCGGTTGCCAATTGGGATTGGCGTGACAACTACTGACAAAACATCCCTTATGGGGAAGACTTACGTTCAGCAGTGGACAGTTAATAGCCAAAATAAAACGCTATTAGGTGTTTGCTAGTTTAGAAAATAAACTGATCTAATAGGCACGCACTATTGTTATTGTATTAGATACAACATTAAATACATATACATGCTGTTTCTACGTGACAATGTCAATATTGCTTGTAGCATACAAATTAGGGTTTAGATTCATCAAAATAACTTGTGTTTGATATTCAATCATCTTTATCAAAGCGGCGTAAGGTTCAAATTAGGGACAATTGATGTATAAATTTTATACAGGTCTCATTGTAACTTTATACATCGGCAACATTTTCATTCTGGCCGTGTGTGGCTGTCAGCTCTTCTGGCATGCATTGAATTTTTTTTAAGATACTCCTAAGCAAATATTGTGTATTCTATTTCTATAATAAAAGTTCTTTATTATATATTTTATAAAATACATTGTGAACTTTAACTACATTTAAACTAATCTATAAGTGACTGTTGTGAATGATTACCTAAGTTATTCTATAGCTTAATGGGTAAATAAATATATGGAAATTTATCATTTCCTCTCTGTCAGGTCGACAACCGAAACCACCGTAGTTAGTTCCTGGCAAATTCGTTACAATAGGGAATAGTTTTTACATATTTTCATCTTAAGCTATGTTATTTCTCACCAGTCTGTCACTACTCACTAGTATTCTGCAAGCGTATATGAAATCGTACTAAAAGATCAAATATTTTCACCATTCATTGTCCAATGCTATAACCGGGATATCCTATTAACTTAGAAATGGTAGATTGTATCCATAATAATTCATTAACTAGCCATTACTGAGAGTAATTCTCTCTCTATAAACGAAGGATTTTAGTCTACTATTTATATTTGCCAAGCCAAGGGCCTTGGTTATAAGGTTCTATTTCGAGATTTCCTTCTTTTGCACTATGTTGGGATGAGTTACCTTCTTCAGATCTTAAAACATCCTAGGACAGATATGGAATAGTTACATATTATGTCACATCTTCGTCACTATACCAAGATATGGCATGCCGTACAAATCCCAGAGTTTTGAGCAAGTTTCCTGTGATTATTTACACGTTTACAATATCTCTGTATCAAGCTACAATTGAAGCACCATTTCCAAAACATGTCTATTAATTTGTTTAATATATTTTCTATCTGCTACTATTATGGATGGAAAAAGTTTACATTGTACTATAACAACAGTCAAGTTATCATTTTAGTTAAATTGGAAACAATTAACTAGAATAAGCACTAACCTGCATCTGAAACCACGAGTCAAGCAGCCCGGCGGCCTGTGGAGCGCCCCAGTGACCGCCGCCCGGGACAATCTGCAATGCAAACAATACTTTTAAAAAATCGATTTCCAAAAGACAAAAATTGATTTGTATTTATTTTGTGTAATGCTATCCGTTTACAACACCAATTCTAAATCATTTTTGATTCTCTTATGTTCCTTAATTTATGACGATTGAAACTTTTTTTTGTTAAGCAAAACAACTGTATATTGCGAATCAAAACTTTATTTATATAAGTTCATATAAGTTCATTATGAAATACTTAATCATTTATCGGTGTGCTTTATTCCTTACTAGCTGTATCCTGCGGCTTTGCTCTCGTGAATTAGCACAAATACATAAAGTATCCTATGTGCTAGGTTAGGATATAATCTACCCATGCGGTAAATTTCATTAGTCTGTTAAAATACGTCATAAATTATAATAAAGTTGTAACTCGGTGATACATAAAATATCTAAGATAAATCCTCAATAAGAGCAGGAAAATTAACAGCAATATTTTTTTAATATTTATCTGTCTGCTTGTTTTAGTATCACACAAACATTACTGCACTAAATTGAATAATGTTTTCTTAGTTATGATCTTAAAAGTATTGGACATAAAATTCGATGTAAAACTTACATCAAATATTGAGATGCCATCTAGAAGAGGTTACCTATTTCCAAAATCCACGCGTATGCAATTTAGTATGCGTTGAATTTTATTATTTGAAGATTAATCAATATTACCTTACTAAGATTGAAGTGACTGTTTTTTGCGCAGCAAAATCTATTTACCTAATTATGAAAAATTGTAATTTATACCCATTTAAGTAAATATAGTTTAATCATGTATTGATTATTTAAAAACATCTGCATATTTTTTACTCTCACTAAAGGCACCCATTCCACACATGAATAATTCATATCGAACGAGTTACCAAATGGTTTTTTAGTAATTGAGTATATATCTACTATTTAATTACACTGATTAAAATATTATATACCTAAAACATATATACTGATTTATTTTATAGTGAAAAGTCATAGATATAATATACATATACCTATGAATTGATACTACTTTATTTATTATCTATTTTATTGTCGATTGATTTCACTTATATTGTAGATTACATTAGCTACACTAATTTTATGATAGGCATACTTATTCATATTGGTTCGTAAAGTGAATGTAAATAGGTATATGTTATGCACGTGGTTATCAACTTTATATCATGAGTATAATTTGTTTATAGAAACGTAATTATTTAAAATATATGTATAATCCCACTTACAAAATAAATAAATATTTGTCTTAAATTATTGCATTTATTTTTAATTCTTAGAATTAAATTAAGATTTTAACATTTTTATACACAAATACAAAATTTAATATACTTTCTTTTTTATTTGATAGTTTATTTTTACATGATTCCATGGATTGCAACATCTTTATTCGAAGGCAAATTTTGTGTATATGTTATACTAGGTTTTTTCAAAATTAGATTATTTTTTACATTCATATACCTATACTTTCGTGTTAGCCTCATACAGTTTTGTATGTAATTTTCATGTATGTATATTAAGAGTGATCCTTTTGGCTGATAGATCTGATAGATAGATCTGAAGAGTACACACTCTCCACAGATTAAGCGGATCAAATAATAATTCACCACCAATTTTAAAAAGCAAATGTTTTTACTTACACTTCTATTTTATTTCTAGTGTATACTATATAAAAATCAATTGCAATATGATGTTTCTTATTATTAAATAAATTATAATAACTACCACTACAATTTTGTCAAGTGTACAGCCGGTTTAATTTAATATTTTAAATTAAAACGCTTATGGGTTTGCGTTACGTATCTAGATGTAATATATATTACAATATATAGTATAATTGACGATGCGTTGTAACCTACCATTCATTTATAGTAACTCAACAGTTATTCAAAAATATTTGAGTTAATATGCTAATAAACATGGAACATTATCGACGTCTTGTTGTAAGTAACGGACAATAACTGTGCTTTGATTAACACTATCTGATATTCTTTAATTCTGTCCATTTTATGATGATTTTGTTACCGTGTCACACCAGCTTAGGGCTATTAAATGTTGGGATCGGTGGTATCGCGGAAATACGCCCACGGCAACCATTGAATAGGTGTGTTCGTTTGCAATCATTCTTATCCTGCAGGTCGACGTGTCTGCGGTATTTGTATATGTTGCCTTAAAGAAACATCTTTATCTATTAAATTATATCGCTGAAATATGTTTCTCAAGTAGTAATAAAAAAAAAAAAACAATTAATGACACCAAGTCTTAATTGTTTTTATTGGTCATTAGTTTTTAATAAAATTGACATATAAATGTTGTCTATATTTATTATTTAACATCTCTGATATGTGTTGAGGTTAATTAATATTTAATAGGTTTCATGTGGGGTTAATAAACTTTGGATTTGACTTTATGTATGGTTTACATGTATGGTAACTTCTTCATTGTTAAAATATATACAATTATGTTACATGGTTAGACTTTTATTTTCTATATACATTTTAAATTTAAACTTTAATACAAGAAATGTTAGATAAAATTATTTGTTCTATTTTTAAAATATAACATCATTTTCTTTTATTTTGCAGTTGGGAAATAGTTTTGCGTAATAAACTATACCCATTAATATTTAAATATAAGATTTAATTACCTTTTACATATCTCGTTTTAATTATTATTTATTAACACTTCCTTTCTGTTTTCTTTTTTATATGTTCAAATTATATTTTATAATATATCTAATAAATAGTCATTATTGATAGTATAATTATAATACGAGTATAAACAAAATTATACAATATTAAGTATATGCGCACCGCAGGACGCATACCGTCGGTAAGCGTTGATGTCTTTTCTAGTCTGATAGTCGAGTATAAAATTTGGAAAATGAACTTTAAATTTATACGATAAGGAGATAGTTTCGATTGTTATTACAATGTTATGACAGAATTATCTTTAATACTTTTTGATTAATTTAGTAATCAGTTGTCCGACTACAGTGGAGTGTAAATTATTATTCAATAACAATAAGGAAAACTTGTATAGGTGCATCTGTTTAGCAATTAAATAATATTTCCATCTAGTATATAATTTGTGTCTTCCTAATCAATATATTTTTTATATATTGATTAAGAAGATTATTTTAATTGTACATATAATACAAATATATACACGCTATATATATATGAGCTATATATAATTTAAAACAATCTAAGTACGATAGTACCTACCTTAACCCAGTACCTTGACTTTGCAAGGTTATAAAAAGCCCTAAATAGTTATGTTAAATCGAATAGTGTTGAAAATTCAAATGTATATATTGAATTAAATTACTTGTTTAAATATACTTTGAAGTCTAGTGTAGTATTTAAAGTATCTATTTAGTAATCTAGTCGTCTATGCAGACTCTACAAAAGCATTATTCTATGTAGTTCACAAAAGCATAAAAACTGTTATACTTAAAATATATAATAGTAATGCTAAAATTATTTTGTTACTTTGAACTCGAATTGTAATACATGAGTGTTACAATTTGAGCCGATTGTAATATGAATATTTAAGATATTTGCTATCAAAACATGTATATAGCTACGTACCTACCATATTTTTCGGCATACCTTAACAGCGTTTAACACTGCGTCTTTTTAAATGTCAATATTGATTTTGTTATCTTCTCGTATCAAGTTTTTAACGAAAAATATATTTATTACTATTTGGCTAAGTAAACATGGTCGTATTCCGCGAACCTGCTACTTCAGTGACTACAAACCAGACCTCATTGTATACTTGCACTTTTCCATTTGAATATCTCAACCAATCAATCCATACATAACACTAGTAGTGAAAATCAAAATAACGGCACAAACGGAAAGTCACGTTTAAAAAAAAACACTCGGTTCTGAATTCGAAAAAAATGTAGCGCGCACTAGTACACGAATGGCACAGGATAGGGTAGTCACATCACGTGGTATGGAGCGTACCTGGTCGCCCACAAGGTCCTCGGCAGCAGTGATCGCGCAGCAGGCCTCCATTCCCGGCTGGAGCCGGGTGACGTGGTGTCGCAGCGGCGTCCACTCGCTATGCTCGCTGTGCGACCTGTCACGAGCCACTCATGGCATACGCCTGCGCGCACCCACTGCGCGGGACCGACTACGACTGTGCGTGATAGCGCCGCCACGCGACCTCCTTGTCGGGGTTGCAATGAAAGTGATTAGGAACTCGCGCCGCGCGACTGATAACGAGGGTTTTCGTTTCATTGTACTTAGAGCACTGTTGTCGGCATTTTCCTTTATATACCATGTCAATATATAGCAAATTTCTTATATATTTCATTCATATGCATGTATTTTATATAAACGTTTGTTAATAACCATATTATTATCCCTACATTTATAAATATATACCGTATTGGTCTAGATGTTAGCTCTCCATTATGGCTTCATTGTTGCGTAATTATATACATGAGCTTATTTCTATGTAACTATATACATGAGCATTATTCTTAGGGCTTACGCAAATAAGGGTCAGACTTTAGCATGCATTTTGTTCGTCAAAATAGAATAGTATTAAAGACTTGTTATATCAAGTCTTTGTGAAATAAAACTCATATTTTTACCCTCCACGGACCATTTTTGAAATCTACGCAAATCTTTAAAATGGTACTAGGGCACTATTACATTTTAAGTTCATGTATAAAATTTTTGTTCAGTGACTTTATAATCAAACAAATAACTGTAGGTACATATGCCTTTAAGCAAGTGACATATTTAGTACCTACTCATATAATTCTATATACAACTCCACAACTCTGTTTAGTCTAGGTTAGATGCCAAAGGTTAGTTATTTTTAAATATTTGCCATTAAATAGATATCGTCGTACTAGAAGGGGTTTATTTATTTAATACAGAACCGTATAAAGAACAAAAGTTGAGAAGAGAAAAGAGGGGAATAACTAGAGAAGTGGCACGTTACAAATTTACGTTTATATACATAAAAAAAATGTCAAACGTCTCCTAAACTTATTTTTAATATAACACTGCTTTGTCTTTTCTCTGTGGTCCCACTATAGAATAGACCATCTATTCCATTCCCGTGGGTGTCGTAAGATGAAACTTAGAGAACTTAATAGTAGAGTGATGTGCAGTAGCATGCCTCTTAAACATCTTTATAAGCCTAATTGCGGTTGCCAATCTGGCTGCCAAGTGTGGCAATTACTGGCAAATTTTCCTTATGGAGAAGGCTTTTCTTTAGTAGTGGACAGTTACCGTCTGCTGTGACTGTTTTGTCTCTATCTTTTGTGCTAAATTCTCAATTTGAAAGATAGTGTCAAAACAGTGTTATAGTTAAAATAGGTTAGTACAATGTTTTAGTTTTTATATTTCAGTAAAAGACCTCGCTTCACTTTCCTCAAAAGATTTTTTCTGTTGTGAAAAGGGAATAGTTTTTGACATTTATTTGGATCTCATTTGATGAGGTGAAGTAGCCGACATCCAAAGCACATTTGTATTATAAAAAAACGTGCTGTTCGCACAATTTATTCTATGGGAAGTCGTGAATCATTAAGAAAAAAATTTAAAGAAACAAATATTCTCACTGTAACTTCACAGCACATATATACTTGTACAAACATTTTGTATATACGCAGCAATGTACAACTGTTTGTTACACTATATTTTATAATAAAATATCGAAGAATATTTTGGTTCTACCTTTTAATACATTTAAAACTGTATTAAAAACACATATTGAACAAAGCCTATTAGACTATAAACGATTACTTGAATGATAAGCGTACATGGTGTGGATCGATCATGAACGGGCTTTTTAATGACCGTGTAATTTTAGACATAATAAATTTAAATAAATACCCATAATGTTAACAGAGATTTAAAAGAGTAACTAAGTTTCTTGCGGGCTCTTCTTAATTGCAAACAACCTTCCAAATTTCATTAAAAAAATTGACGATTTAAATGTATTTGTAAACAAGTCTATTAGAATAAAGATGATTTAAATTCTGAATTTCATGAAGTTTAATGGAGTTTAAGATGGAACTCGCGAGCCAAAAATTTTAGACTTGCCATTCTTACTTTTGCTTTAAATAGATCCAGTTCGTAAATATAGACTTAGAATTTAAAATTTTGGTGAAAGAGGATGCAGTAAGAAGTAATGGAAACAATTTTTTTTTACTACGATGGTGGCAAACAAGCATACAGCCTGTCTGATGGTAAACGATCACTGTAGCGTATGAACGCCTGCAATACTAGAGATGTCACGTGCGAATTGCCGACCTTAAAGAAATACCCTTTTTGAATAACCCCATACTGTAGTCTCTAGGGTAAACCTCGGTAGGGAGCCTATTCCACAGCGTTCGTGGGAGGAAATTTCTCTGATACCGCACTATCCATAATCATTTAGGTAGAAGCGTATGAGGATGAATTCCCTGTCGATGGTGAGCAGTGCAATGATAAAAGTTAGCTGTAGGCATAATTTCAAATAATTTTTTAGAACACAATTCGTTATATAAGTGGTAGAATACACCGCCTGTGAGGTTGGGATCGTCAACAATCCCCATCTTTGAACCTAGTCAAGAGGACTAAGCTGGTATCCAAGTACTCCGGCCCATAGATGAGAACAATACTCCATGTGGGGCTGGACTTGCGACAACAGAAGTCTTTGTCTCAGGGTGAAGTATCGTTTCACTCTACTGAGCATCCCGAGCTTTTTGGACGCCAGCTTGACTTTATCTTCTAGACGACTTCAAAACTCCACAGTGCTGAAGATGTCAACTCCGAGGATCCCAATACTTTTGATGATATCAATGAATGTGTTCTCGAATTGCCGTGCTAGAATAAATAAGTTTTTTTTTTAACAGTGAACGCGCAAGTGTCCTTCGATGCGGATACTCCAGCAAGAGTACTTTCGAGTTGATTTCGAAGTGGCCCCATTGTAAGCAATATATCCTGTTACGTCAATTTCTATACATTTCTTTTGAAAATTACCACAGTTCATTAAAACAACTACTGGCAAAACTCTTGTTATGGGGAAGATATTTGTTCCGCAGTGGGCAGTTGGCGCGATTCCTTTTGAAATTTAATTACTTTATTTCTGGTAAATTTGATTTCATACTCACCTTCAATTCCTCACTGGTATTATTCCGACGTAAATAGCGCAGGTAATGTTAATATTTCCTACATGTGCGAGTATAAGTGAAGCAACATCGAATATTGTAAATTGATTCAATTGAATATATCTACTAACCCCCTCATTAATAAAAACGTCAAACCTCTTATAAAACTATTTTAGCTATTGAAGTGTTTTGATTTTTGTTCTTTTGTGCTAAATTCCGAATTTGAAAGAAAGTGACAAAAAATTTCAATACCTAAATAAGGTTTATAAGAGGTTGGACGTATCTATTTATGAATAAGGGGATTATAGTTTTGGAGTAAGAAATGATTAGTGTTAAGGTAAGGTAAGACGGGAACTAACATGAATACATGTGGCACTTTTAGGTAAGTCATTTCTGTTAAAATTATTCATCAGTTAAAAGTAAAATTAAATAGTTCTTTAAGTAAGAATATAGGGGCATATTAATGTATAGAGCGAAATCGATGTTGTCATTCAAAAACTACAAAGAAAAATTAGTCTCCCGGTAAGTTAGTTACTTAATAACTTGAACGTGCCGCGTAAACGTGAATCAGCATTTTATATCGACATTTATCAATTATTTGAATCTTTGAATTCTTTATAAAAAAAAATAATTATCATTGACATAACAGTATTTTAAAAGGATGCTAATAATTTTGAAATGATTCAAATTTATTGTATAACAATTCCGTGTAACGATGTTCATTCACGCTAAACCCCGAACCTGTACAACCGATTTTTTTAAATTTTCTAAATATATATTGTTTGCAACAATTCGAGAGATAAAGTTATTTTTATAAATGCATATAGTCATTTATAAAAATAACTTTATCTCTCGAATTGTTGCAAACAATATACATTATTTTTATCGTAAATCCTATTAATATTATAAATGAGACAGTAAGGAATGTATAGTTGTTTGATATTTTTTCATGCAAAAACATCTAATTTCATCAGAATGGAAATTTTAATTTTATGGAGCAAAACGTTTGACGTATTAGTTAGTATCTGATATACTCGTATTTAGAAAAGAGAATCATAAAAATTAAGCGGTTCAATGTATAAAAAATATTTTTCTATGAATAGCTATTGATAAGGTTTCTCGAAACCTCGTTTGATAAACAAAAACGATTAGCTGTATTATAAACATCTATGAGGCTAACTTTGTTTTGAGTTCGTCTTTGCAGTTTTGTCCAACTTAACATTATATAACTTATTCTAAATTATGACTTTAATTTTATATATTTTATTGCACACACTAAAAATATGTTGTATCCTTCTAATTTAATACAATTTTCACTTAAAAACATAAGATTTCATTTGTATTCTTTTTTGGTACGGATCCCTATAAAAGATAGGATCATAGTTATATAGTATGCACCGCCATCTATTATTCTGTAACTGAACGAAACGCTACAGTCGGTTTGTGCTTAACATTGACTATTAACATTACGTCATAACTCATAGATAATAAATAATTAAGGCCGCAAGTTAAGTATCTAACAAAATAATTAACTAATTTTGGAATTTATGATCTTTAGGTTCTATAGTCTGCGTATTTGTTATTTATTTTATTAATGTAATCTTATCGCCTGCTAAACTTTACTTAGCAAATATTTGTTAATGAAAATAAACTATAATATATCTGGCAGGCTGTCTGTTGGTGTTATGTATCAATTTCGTACTTATAGATTAAAGGTTAAACATTTTATCTTTAATTTGCTTTATTGTGCTTTGTAATTCAGTATTAATTTTTATATACATATTATTAATATTGGTAATCGATATTATTCGAAGAGAACAATAAAGA